GGGGGGGGGGGGGGGCGGCCCCTCTCTCTGCCTTGTACAGGTCCCCACCAGGGGAAGAGAGGACCCCACGGGGCCCCGCCCTCATTCCTGTAAGGTCAGGAGAGCTGTGGTCAGTGTCTGGAGATGCGTGGTCTCGTCTCTGCCCGCCCTCCCTGGATCCCTTGCAAGTCCAAAGCCCAGCGGGCATGGACGGGGGAAAGGAGGCACTCTCCCTGCTAACCATGCCCTCTGTTCTTCCCCTCCTGTTGCTAAGCAAAGGGAGAGATGGGGTAGGAGGAAGGAACCTGGAAGGAAAAAGAGCCGAGGGCACCACACTGGCGGGGGGAGGGGTCCACCTCTCAGCCCTGCTGCTGCCCAACTCCCTGTGACCTCTCATCCTGCCGACCAGAGCCCCCGGAGCTCCCGGGCCGGGCCGTGGAAGGCTGGGCTGTCCCACACAGAGGCCCAGAGGACCGGGCTCAGGAAGAGCCCCACTGCATCTGATCCCCCTCAGGAACACCCGGGGGGCTGGCAACTTGCCCAAGAACCCCACTCCCACCCAGCATGGGGTCTGACACACTTTACATCCCACCTGGTCATGAAGGCTGGCCTCCACGAGCCTCAGGTTTGGGGACGAGTTTGGCACTTGGGGAAGGGGAGACGCATCAACACCGTCTCCACAGAGTGCCTGGTGTCCCTGTCCCTGGTGATGCTGCTTCTGAATGTAGCTGCAGGGGACGTATACTCTCCCCCGCCTCCGAGGACACCCGGGACACCCGTCACAAAGCCACGACGTGCCCTGTGTCGGGGCACACCTGCAGCTCCTGGGCAGCCTCAGTGGCGGGAAGGCAGGGCACCCGTGGCTCTGGCATCGCCGTGCGCGGCCTGCACCTGCCGGGCCCGTGAAGGCGGCAGAACCTCTCACCTCGTCAAAGATCTCCAGGTAGAAGGAGTCCACGCCGGGGGGCACCGTGCACTGGATGACTTTATTCCAGCGAGGGTTCTTGGCGCCATTGTGGGCGGTGGGCGTCTCGTACACTGCATAGCCCAGGCGCAGTCGGCAGTACGGGTCCATGCGGGTCATGCCGTAATTCTTGGCCAGCTTGGCCTGAAACACGACCAATGTTACTAAACAAGCAGCCGCCACCCGAGCGAGAGCTGCACATCCACCTCAGCCTTCCACCCCCCACCTCCTCACTTCCGGCATTTTCCCGGGAGCAGGACGTGGCTGCAATCGTGCCCGTGGGCAACGGGTGCAGCAGGCCACTGGTCAAGTGAAGGGAGCCGCTGGGCCACGCAGGGCAGCTCCTCCGACGTCCCCTCTGAAGAGGCTGATCAGAGCCAAGAGCCACCCTGGAGCCACGGCCCGGCTTCACTTTCTGTCCTCTGTCCACTGCTGCGGGTCATGAACCCCGAGGAGCCCAGCCTTCGGCCAGACAGGCTGCGTTTGCAGGGAGGAGAAAGCATGGACGCGGATGAAGGCGGAAGGCTCCGGGGGCCCAGGCGGTCGGTCGGCAAACACTCATTCCAAGTGGGTCCGACTGGACCGTAATGCCTCCACACAGAACCCCACAAGGGAACGTGAGGGAACAGCCCTGGCGGGGGCTGGGCGAAGACCAGGGGAGGAAGGGTGACCACACAGGTAGCGGGAAGCCACGGGCCACGCCTCGAGGCCCAGCGGGCAAAGTGGGAGCCCAAGCCACAAGGGTCTGGGAGGACCGTGTGGAGGGTGCGGACTGGCGGCTCGTGTGTACCTGAGGTGACCCCATCGGCCCTGGGGGCGTGGCCAGAGTTAGTATCTGGGACGCGTGGTCACCATAAAACCCACGGAACTCGTGAGGCCCGACCGTGGCTCTGTCTGCTGTATGTGTGCGTCTCCTCAAAACTGCGTGCAGTGACTTCCCTTGCTTCGTGGTTTTACAGGAAGTCGTGCTGACCAAAACCACTTTAGATCCTGACAGCGCATTTGGCTTTCCTTGGGATCCGTTCAGCAGCCAGGGCCGGCCTGGAGGGGCTGCCAGCCCACCCTCACGCCCTCACCTTCCCGGCAGCCGCGAGGCCATCCACACACAGGAGCCCGTGCCCATGCCCGGCCCGGAGCACGAGCCCGTGAAGCTGTTACTGACTATTCCTGCTCCTTCTGGTAGAACCTGGCAATTGTCGCTACTTTTCACGTCTATCGCTTCACCAGCTATGTTTCAGGAGCACACCTCAGCAAAGCATGCGTCCATGCAGAGAGTGTGGCACGGCAGCCGGGGCCGGCGCTCCCCACCCGGGACACCCACCTGCACCACGGTGACGCTGAGGCGGCCCACGGCACCCACCGCGCCTCCGTACTGCAGCTGCCGGGCTGCCTGCGCGTCCAGCTGCACCTGCTGCTGCGCGGCCGTGGGCGTGATGCGGAGGAAGTCCTGCGGGAGCTCACCGACGTACACCTTTGGAGAGAGCGCACGCGCGTTAGCGGGGTGGGAGCTCAGCCTCTTCGTCTACGCAGTGAGGGGTCCATGGGTGGAGGGTCTGCAGCCCAAGCGCCCCGAACCACCGCGCTGCCCACGCCCACGGCGGCTGCTCTCTGGCCAGGAGCCCTGTCACTCGGGACAAAGGGGTCGCACGCCGGCCTCCCTGGGGGCTCGCCACCTGCTCTGGCCACTAACCACGGACTCTCCTGCTCACACCGGCTCCCTGGACAGTCTCAGGCCACGTCCAGGTGTCACACACCCTCTGCCTGCATGTCTGTGATCTGCTTTGCCTGCTGCCACCAGGGCGAGCTGGGCCCGTGGGCCGCAACGTGCTCGTTCAAACACGAGCGAGACGAAATTGGAAGCTGGGTTTCTAGTCACAAGGAAAACCCTTGCCTGCAACAGTTCAAGCTCAGCACCGCCCCAGAAGACAGAAGGAAGAGACAAACAAGAGCCCCAGAGACCTCACCCCTCTGCCTCTTGCTGAACCCTATGTCCAAGAGGTGGCCTGGCCTCCCGAGAAGGGCCCGGCTCCCAGATGGGGCAGGGACGCGCCGGGAGGGGGGCTGCGCGGTGGCCCGAAGGTTCCCAGAAGCCAGTTGTCCGTGAAGGGGCAGCGGCTGAAGCGGGAGTCGGTCGCGACATATGGCGGTGCTGGCCCTGGACGAGGCTCTCCTGGCACACACAAGCAGAGGGGGCGGCTGTGTTCCGGGGCCAGCAGAGCAAGGACCCACTGGCTGTTCACCACCCCGAGCAGCCTCACACCGCCGTCTCCCTGGGTTCAGGGTCTGGAATGCCCAGATGAACTACTGGCACAGCCCCTGGGACCACAGACCCCCTCAGAAGGGAGCAGGGCCTGTCCTCGAAACGGGACACGAGCTGCGGCACAGGGCCGGTGCTGCCTGTGGTGGTCCAGGGTCCTCCTTAGCCGCCCCACGGGGACACCACACGGGACTCTGGACAAGAGCCTCCAAGCAGCATTATTTTCAAGAAATGCCAAGGGAAACCCCCGCGTGTCAGTGAGTTACGGCAGACGGCATTTACTGACGCCAGCCACTAGGGACCACTGCAGCCGTCCGGGTGCTGGATACCCTAAGGCCTCAATTGCTGGAGTTCTGGACTTCCGGATGGACCAGGCATCCGGCAGAATTCCAGAAAGCTCCACACTCGCTGAGCTCACAAGCACCACTGGGGAAGCATTTCTCCCCAAGTGCCTTTTGCTGTTTCATTTCAAAAGTCCCCAGAAAGGTCTAGGTTCCTGTCGGTGTCCCCATCTCAGGCCTGGAGACCACCCAAACCAGGCCCGGAAACCAATGGAAACCAACTCAGGACCCCGGGCCCAGGGACTCCCCCCGGCCACTTCCCCCTTGGCAGCAGTCAGCTGGGTGCCCCGGCAGCTTTTCTCTGCCAAGCAAGAGCACACCTCTCCTGGCTGCACCCCACGCCAGGCCCTCCCACGCTGGGACGTGCAGGAGTGATCTCGGCGCCTGGCGGGGGCAGCATCTCATTTGTTCTCATTCTCTGTGTCTGGACCGGGCAGCCTGGAGGGGCCCTGAGTACTCATTACAGACCGAAGGGAAGGCAGCAGCGCCCGGGAGGCCCAGTGTTGCCAGGTGAGGAGAGCACTGCCTCCCAGGGGGCCTCCCAGCTCACCAGGAGGGCCTAGGGCTCGCCTCGCAAAGAAGGGTGCACGCCCTCCCGGAGGGCCGAGATGCTGTGGCCGGCTTCACGGCTGTGAGACCGATGTCAGTTGCCAGTTGCTGTGGGCAGACGGGAGCCACGTCCCCAGCCGGAGCTCTACCCAGCTGACACCGGGCCGGATGCTGCCTTGCCGACCGTCCGTGGGCCTCGCAGCCTCCGCCCGCAGGGTCTGTGGCTGGTGCCTGCACCCACGGCTGGCAGACAGACTCACGCACGCAGACCACATTCTCGTTTGGTCTGAGAGTAACTGCTCACCCCATGCCACATACCGCAGCTCGGAGGACCCAGCAGGGTGGGCTGTGGACCACACACGCATACGCAGGGATGGTGGTGACAGCGTGCTGCTCAGGCATGGGGATCGTATGTCTATCTCCTTCGTCCCATCATCAGTACAGGACTTCCAGAACTCATCTGGGCTTAAGGAGAACATTCTGCTTTTTAATTGGGGGTGGGGGAGGATAAAATTGTATCAAAGGCCAAAGACATAGTATTCTTTTCCAACAAGGTTTTAACGATAAAACTATAAATGTGAGACAAGGATTTTTATCACATGAATTAATAGCACAAACAAAACACGGGAAGGGAGAGAAGTGGACCCCATGAGCACTGACAGGCTGGGGGACACCAGGTTCCTGAGAAGCCCGGAGGACATCGTGTCCCGTGGTCTTCTCCCACCCTAGGGACGCATTACAGAATCCCTGAGTGGCAGGCCTTAGGCTGTCACAGTCCCCAGAACAAGCAAAGTCTGAGATGGCCCTGGAGCGCAGGCCACGGAGGACCTATGGCAGCTGGATGCCACATGGGGCCCTAGCCGGAACCTGAGCCCAGGAGGGACGGGGGGAGAAACGTGGGGTGTCCAAATCAAACCTGCAGTGGCAGTCACGTACCAAAGCCAAAGCCAGGTCTCTGGCTGTGACCAGTGGACCTTGGTGACACGAGGTGCAGATATACTGTCTATGAGAGCACACTACATCTCTCCGCACCGTCTGCAACTGATCCATAACTCTAAAATTTCAGGTTTATTAGAAAAAATTCCAATTTAACTTAACAAGGAAGAAAGAGGAAGGACACCGTGCTTCACTTCCTACAAAGTAAAAATCTTACAAAATCTTGGTCATGCACCTGCTGCCCAGGAGCTACCAGACAGGCCTGCCCGCTGTCGCAGCCCAAGTTCGTCCGAGCGAGCAGGTTCCACCACCTTAACCAGTCCCTGCTCATGACAAAATGGTGACGCGTCAGGTGTCCCACACATGTCCAGGCGCCGACATGAACCCTCCTGCCCCAATGACAGTCTGCAAAGGCCACGGTAACACCTGTATTACTGACACGTATTAAATTTTCAGGACCGATTTTTGCCACATTGTGATGGAGGAAGGGTCACGTAAAAACACATGCTTTATCCTGGCTCCCAGCCTGGAGGGAAGAGAGAACGATCACTCCTGCTACAACGTAAATAACAGATCACATCTGAAAACGTAACCTGGCTCACATTTACAGGCTGAACACATGGAGTCCCGACCCAGGCCTGGGGCAGGCGGTCTCTCAAGGAGCGCTGCAGAACCACTTCTTGCCCTTCGTCAAGTCTAGGGCTGCAGACACACCGTCTAGGGCTCCTGTCCCGTGCGCCCACTCGTGCTCTACGTACAAACAGGACTCTTCAGTTAATGTGGGGCTAAGAACGACTCAAGTTTTTACGTTAAAAGTTAGGTTAAAAACTAAAAAGCCATTGACACTTCACTTGGTATCCGTTTTTGCTGAGCAACCTTTAATGTAACTTATTTATTCACGTCAAATTACGCATACTCGTTAGCTATTCATGCAAATGTAGTACCGACATACCCAAGAATTTAAAAATTCATTCAACTGTTACTTTTCCAGTGAAGGTAAAACATCTGGAAATTTTTATTTTTTTATTTTTTAACGTTTATTTATTTCTGAGACACAGAGAGACAGAGCATGAACAGGGGAGGAGCAGAGAGAGAGGGAGACACAGAATCCGAAAGAGGCTCCAGGCTCTGAGCTGTCAGCACAGAGCCCGACGCGGGGCTCGAATTCACAGACCGCGAGATCGTGACCTGAGCCGAAGTCGGCCACTTAACCGACTGAGCCACCCAGGCGCCCCAAAACATCTGGAAAATTTTTAATGAACTTTTAACTTTCGCGTGGTGTGAGAAAGTACTTCCTAATCCACTGCTGGATGTTCTTTTTGGCGCCTTGGCTCGGTGGCAGGACAGAGAGATCCTGTGGCACGAAAACTAACATGAGAGCAGCTGCCACGAGGCACAGCGCCTGCGTCCCCCACCGAGTCCAGGGCAACACGACGCCCAACAAAACCGCGGCGACGTGCGGGCCGTCAGCCACGCTGAGGCCTTGGGTTCCTTCCGCACCCTCCGGGGGCTGGCATCCGCCGTGAGGACGCACTCAGGCCTCCGGACCCCACACCATGACCCAGAGGGGACCCCACACAAAGGCCTCCGTGGTCCCTGGCTCATCCCACAGCTCTCGTTCCACATCACTCACAACTGGAACTGAGGCCAAAGGGGATGAAGGAATGTGACCTCACAGAAACAGAAGCCCATGTGGCCAAGAACTGCAGGGGTGCCAAGGGCCTGGCGGCGAAGTCAGGTGCTCACGGGACAAGGACCCCCAACCTCGGGATGGTGTCTGGTGGGCCAGGGGCCCTGGAGCCTCCCCGTGGTCCTGGGGGCCTGTCCTGCTGCGGCCTATCACACCCTGTGGCCTGTCCCCCCAAGTGACTGCATGGGGGGTGGCTCTGACCCCAGCCTGGCCGCTGACTGAGTCCCACTGCAGGGGGCCGAGGCGCTGGCCCCAACGTCCCAAGGGAGGGAGCCTGGGCAGCGAGGAGCCAGGCCTGCCGTGTCTCTCACTGAGCCCCGCCTGGCATCCAACGGCAGAGTGTGACGCGGGTGGGCCGGTTGGACGAGGGTGGCGGTGTGTGGGTGGCACAGAGGCAGAGAAGCAGAGTCTGTCTGCTCTGAAGGCAGAGAGGCAGGGCTTCCTAAGGGGACAGAGGGGAGGCGAGGTCATCCAAATGTTCCAGCCTGAGTGCTGTGCAGGGTGGAACCACTTCCATACGG